CGCAGCTGCCCCACAGCACAGCCCCGGCCCGGCGGGGGAGCCGGGGGCTGCGCACCTCCCATCCACCCTCCAGCCAGGAGCGGAGAGGAGCTGTAGGGAGAGGGGCAGAATGGGGTTCATCCCCGTGGTCGTGGCATCCTCCCTGCACCCACAAACAGGCTGTCCCCTGCTGGCATTGCTGTCTGTGGCTGGGCACTTGGGCAAGAGGCGGATGGGTAAGGTCCTGCCCTTGCAGGACACACTGCACTGGAAACTGACCCCCCCGAGAAGGGGTTTACCCTCTCTCCATCACCAGGGTGTGACCCACCAGGGCAGGGACATTGCCAGCACCTTCCTATCCCACCCAGGATTCTGCCCCAGGGACAGGGACAAGCACTCACGTCACACAGTCGCTCCTCGGTCCTGCACCGCAGCACGGGGCTCCTGTGGGATGGAGGGATGAGGATGAGGAGGGGTGTCAGCGCTCCAGTGGGAGTGGGGTGCTGGGTCCCCCTTGTCACAGCAGTGACCCATGGGCCAGTGGGCAGAACTCCACTGGGTCTCCAGGAGTGAGTATAGCCCATGGAACATCTCTGCCCATCGCCATCATCTGCAGGATGTGGTAAGCAGCAGCCAACAACCCTCGTGGTGGCCCTGACCGAGGGGATGAGGGAGTATCCGAGTGGCACCAGGGCTTGGTGGCAAATATCTCAGGGAGGTCCCATAAGTTCTCCTAGTACCTAATGTCCTGAAGCCCCCCAAGAGTCCAAGACCTGAGCCTTGTGCCTCAGAGAGGGTATCACCATCAACCTGGGCTTGGCCTGCATATATCTACATCCCCAGTCATTGGAGGAACCACTGCAATCACTCAAGGCATAGTGGGTCATGGGATGACCTGTCACCACCTCTCCAAGTCTCTAGAGATGTGCTGCAGCCCACCAGCTCTATCCTGCCTGGTTGCCCTAGGCTGCTCTTCTCCATGGAACAGCTAAACATTCCAGTTTGGCCACCAGAATGCAAAGAGGGAAACAGCAAACACAGCAGGATCCTGCTTTTTCCTTAGCCAGCATCCAGCCAGGCACCTTTCCCAGGGCTCTCCCACGCTGACCCATTCCTGCCCCATTCCACGCCCTGCCAAGAGCTGCTGGCATGTGCCATGCCCATCCCGTGGAGCTCCAGCAGAGGATCCCCCAGGGGATCTCCCTGGCTTTGAAGCATGCCAGGAATTTTACCCAGGCATTTGGCTTCCTTTTCCTTCCAAAGGCTTTGCCATGTATGCCCTGCTGCTGGTTTTGTGCAGCAAGTCAAGGCCAGATCTTGGGGCTGCTGACATCACACCAGGGGCCTTCTCCCAATCCCCTTCCACAAAAATCATCTTTTCCCAACTGCAGAACCATGGGTGGGTGAAATGCTGTGTGTCTGCTCCCACCACCACAGGCCTCATTTGCTCAGTGGTAACAGGCCAGAGGCAGTTTCAGGGAGTGAATCCCACAAATCAGGGACTGCCAATGGCCAAGCAAATGGTGTCATCACCTTGGAACTCTCTAGCCTCTCCAGCAAGGTGGGAAGGCTGGGAGCTAGCAGGGCTCTGGGAGCTCCAAATAGGATGGGCACACCTAGTTGTGGTTCTTGGTTGTAAGAACAACCAAGAAATGACCAGTTGGCTTCACCAACAGGACTCCAAGGCAAGAAAGGCTCCTGGAGATATCTGTCCCTGCCTGTCCACTGTCGACCACATTGAGCCCCATTGAGGTTATGGTTATGGAGACAGAATGTGCAGCAGCAGAGCTCCCCCAGGTCATGATTCCAATGGATGTCCCCAAAGAGCTCAAACATGAAGGAAAACCCATCCTTTGTGCTGGCAGAGGGTCTGCTGTACCTGCCATGAGCCACCTTTGCCATGGTAGCACAGGGTGGGACCTCTCACGGTGACTCCAATGGGAGGGGAAAACCAATCCCCCTCCAGCCCAGGGGACAACCAAGGGACAAGGAAGTGGAGGAGCCTACCTGCTGCCCCACATCCTCCACTCCAGGCTGTTTTCTGCTGCTGTCCTCTCTTCCCACCTCATCAGGCTTTTCATGCAGACTCAAGCTGCCGTGAATATCCGATACTTCATCTGCTGACCCCAGTCCGGTCTCCTCCAGGCAGATGCTGACTCCTTCCTTCTCCAGCTCTCCTGGGATGCTGGGACTTGATCCTCCCAACCTCTTAAGGCTCAGGAGCTTCTTCTGGCGGCTGCTGCTGCCGGGAGCACTGCCAGCATCCTGCAGGGAGCCTGTGCCCGCCCCCTTGCCCGTGCGGCGGCTGTCGCGAGTGCTGGAGCTGCCCGGTGTGTTCGGGGCTGGGGGGGTGCAGAGGCTCTGCTCCCCTACTTTGCTGCTCTGAGTACCCTTCTGGATGTCTCCGTTCTGCAGCCCGCCGGTGGGGACTGTCCCATTGCGAGCCTGTTCCCGCTGGAGCCGGTCACTGCTGTTCTCCAACTCCTCGGTGCTCAGCTCCCGGCTGCCGTCGGGCAGGGCACCGTCCTGCTGCTCCTGGAAAGTGGGTTTCTTCCCGATGTGGGTCACACGGAACCTGGAATGGGGGCAAGGACAGATCAAAATCCTCCTCTCCCATAGCTGTATTCCCAGCTTTCCTGCACTCCCCAGCCTCAGATCTCCTCTCTTTGTCAGGATCTCCAATCTTTCAGCACCACCTCCCCAGCTCCAGCCATGTCCCCTTGTCACGGACTGGTGATGATCTCCAACCTTTCAGACCCACTCAGCACCATCATCTGCTCTAGCCATGTCCCCACTGACTTAATCCCACTTTCCCCCTCATTATTGGCAAAACAAAGAGAAGGAGAAGGATGACAAATTCAATCCAGATGTTGGCTGAAGGAGACCTTGCTAGCCTGTCCTCCTGGATCACAGCTCTTGGAAATGCTCTGACACACTACCTGAGTGACAGTGTGCCTTAAGAGAGGGCAGGGACAGGGTTTTGGCAGTGTGAGACATTTGGGTCCAGGGACCAAAGGCAGGAGGAGCTGTTTGGCTAAAATCTGCCTGTACATTTTGCACCATTCCCTGGAGTGACAGATGGGATCTGGGTGGTTCACCAAGGCTCCATCATGAGCAGCTCAGAGCTCCAGGGTGGGCAGGGGAACAGCTGCAGGAGTTGGTCTGACACCCTCAAAGGGTGCATTTAAAATCTGAGGTGATGGAATATTGCATGTGGGGAGGAGAAGTCAGGGATCATAGACTCATAGAATGGTTTGGATTGAAAGGGACCTTAAAGACCATCCCATCCAGGCCATGGGCAGGGAGATCTTCCACTAGCCTGGGTTGCTCCAAGCCCCATCTGACCTGGCCTGGAACACTTCCAGGGATGGGGCAGCCACAGCTGCTCTGGGCAACTTATTCCAATGTTTCCCCACCCTCAGCGGGAAGAATTCCTACCCAATATCCGATACAACGCTGCCCTCTGGCAGTGGGAAGCGAGTCCCTGTGTCCTGCCCCTCCATACCTGTGTCCAAAGTCTCTTTGCAGCTCTCTTGGAGCCCCTTTAGGCACTGGAAGGTGCTCTAAGTTCTCTCTAGAACCTTCTCTTCCCCAGGCTGAACAGCCCAAACTCCCTCAGCCTGTGAGGGGTAACATGTAGGCAAAGTCTCAACTGAATTGCAAGTGAGTTGGTTGTGACTCAGGCTATGACTCCTCTTCACAAGCAATACAAGTCACTGCTAGATCAGCAGATGGGAAATCTGTTCCAGGGTGAGCTGGTGTCCACCAGCCAGAGCATGCTGATCCCACCAGAGAAACCTCATGCAGCCTGTGTCACCCACACTTGCTCTCCCTGTGCTTGGATCCCATGTGGAGATGCTGCCAATGGTCCTGGCTCTGCTGAGGTTCAGCTGCAAGTCAGCACCAGAGCAAAGCACCAATCCAGCAGCAAAGTTCAAGCACTGCTGGGGTTGAAAGAAGGCAAGACCCAAAGGTCAAGCACATGAAAGCACAACTATTGTGAAGGAAGAAGCTGAGAGATCCGAGAGAACAGAACAGGTGACATGTGAGATGCCAGAGATGAAAGAGACCACCACCAGGTAAGGACCAGGTTATGGACAGCACAGACTCCTCAGCACAATCGTGAGAAATGCTGCTCAGTGTTGGAAGGGTCAAGAAGAGAAATGCTCCAGTTCCAGACAAGGTATCCACAGCTGTGCTCAGGTCAGGGCAAGTACCAGCAAATGTGACCTTTCAGGTCTGTCCAGATATTTGAAGACAAGACACCAATGCTGTGATTTGGGAAAACCAAAGAATGTTCTGGTCCCAAAGAGGGACAGGGAGGAGGCTTGAGTGGCAGTATCATTCCTTGGAAATGGCATTGAGCAATGTCAGCCTGGAAGAACTGGGAACTGATTCAAAGAGCAGGAAGGGCTTGCACTGAAGAGGGCACAAGAGGTAATGTAACCAACCTCTGGTTGGTGAGGGAAAGGCAGGAGAGTGCTGCTGGCTCAGCATCACTGAGGCTTTTGGTTCAGTAGGATGTGACACACTGTGGCTGATTGGGCTGAGGACAGAGGAGCAGACACAGATGCTTTGGTGGAGGATCTCTGCCACTGACAACAACTGGTTTGGGGAAAGCCCTGAGATAAACTGTAAATCATTCTATGATGTAAGAGTACAGATCATCCAACCCTGATTGCCTCAGAGGCACAGATTTAAGTGTGAAAAGTCCTCAGGAGGTCTCCAGTCCAGTGCCCTGCTTGAAACTGGGCCACCTCCTACCCTCAGTCAGTTTGCCCAGAGCTCCATCCAGTCAGATTTTGGAAATCCCCAAGGATGGATATCCCTTCACCCCTCAGGGCTCTGTCCCAGGCTACTCCATTCTCATGGTGATATAGTTTTTTCTTCCATCTTTTCTGGTTTTCTCTTGTTGTAACTCATGGCCATTGCCTCTTGCCCTTCCCAGTGCAGCTCTGTCTTGCTTAAAATGAAGATATTTAAATTCCCACTACCCTCTTGGGTAGTTTCAGGGAACAATTAGATCCTCCCTTTGGACTTCTTCAGGCTGACAAAACCTCCTCACATGCCACATACTCCAGCCCTGGATGAGCTTGGTGGAGCTACATTGCTCTCATCCTTTCTACTCCTTCAGTCACAAGCCTGTACCTAACAGGACCAGGACTCGGTTCACATGGGAAGGGGGTTGGACTCTCAACCTCTGTGTCCAAGGCAAAAACAACACCAAAAATAAAAGAGAACAAGACGTGAGGGTGAATCTTTAACCCAAGAGGTGGATTAAAGAAGCTTTTTTATGTGAGGTCAGTCTTGAGTCAAAGTTCTTTGAGATATTAGTCATAAATAAGAGACAGTAAGGGCAATCCTGGAAAAGCCATCCAGGATCTGGAAGAGCATAGGGGTCAGCTGGAAACAAGCAGCAGAATTTAGAGGAGGATTTGTACCTCATGGGCACATAAGTCCCTTAGCAGTTGGACTTTGTACTAAGGAGATTCAGGATTTCAAATCCAGCCTTGGAGAGATGGGCTGAGTGTCCTATGAGGAAGGCTGGTGTGACATGGGATATTAACAGGGATAAAGCCCAAGCTTTGAGGGAAGGTGCCCTTAGGAAAGGAGAGCATGTCTGGCACTCAGAGGTGAGTGAGAGGAGGCTGAGCAGAGCACGGACAAAGGACACCCAGGAGTGGATGGATCTGGGCACCAGCCAGGGAATGAATTAGCTGTGAATATGCAACTGTGCAAAGACCTGGCTCACAGGACACCACCTCCAAGGACAGCTGACAGCAACAGGCACAGAGGGAGCTGCCAGTGTCCAGAAGACGTGATCTGAGCTGGAATTTGGCATGGGGAGGTCTGGCATGTCTCTCCCCTTCACCAGCTCCCCATAAAGCCTCAAGTCACCTCCCTGCTGAGGCTTCTGGCTCTGATGGTAGAAAAAGGCACATGACAGGAAAAGGGGGAATAGTTACCCACTGCCACAGGGCAGGGTTAGGTGGGATATTGGGAAGGAATTCTTCCCTGTGAGGGTGCTGAGGCACTGGCACAGGTTGCCCAGAGCAGCTGTGGCTGCCCCATCCCTGGAAGTGTTCCAGGCCAGGTTGGATGGGGCTTGGAGCAACCTGGGCTAGTGCCAAGTGTCCCTGCCCATGGCAGGGGATGGAACTGGATGGTCTTTAAGGTCCCTTCCAATTCAAACCAGTCTGGGATTCCATGCCCAGTCTGGCTCAGCATTCCCAGGAAGGGGTTGTCTCTCTGAATCACAACATGCAGCTCCATCAAGGCTCAGACCCTGAATTAAGACATAATGCAGGATTTGAGTATGGCAGAGCTTTGTGCCTCACCAGAGTGGCCATTCAAGGACTGGCAGCTGCTTGTCACCATGCTCCAGTCACCACTGCCATAGGGAGCTGAGCCCTGGAAGACTTTCCTACATCTCTCTGCTGAGGAATGGAGCAACCTGGGTGAGTCCACAAACTGTACTACAGGTTAGTGCCTACACAGAGACCACAGGAAGCTCAGGAAGTCTTGAGGTGAGACCATATGGGGACTGAAGAAGTATTTGTGGGAAGTATCAGGAACACTCCCCTATTCTTATACTCCTGCCATGTCATCTAATTACAGCCAACCTGGAAGGGAACAACCCAGAGCAGCACAGCCACTCTTTCATTCTGAGGGTGACAGGTGGTAACTTGCACCTGGGACATGTTTTCCTCTCCTCCTCCTCCTAATGAGATCCCTGAAGCCCCTAGTTGGGCATCTGTGCCCTGCTTGCACGTAGCTGGGACAGCAGGCACTGAAAGGACACAGCCC